AAACACTTAATTTTTTGCAAAAATAGTTGCGAGCGAACCAAAATCAACATCGACCGTGCCGAGCTCTTTCACATACCTTCACTGCTGCTACTTATTTAACCGGTGTTAAAAACAGCACTCCCGGCATCATCAAAATCAACTGCTGAAACCGAAAAACGACAAGACACGAGAAAATTCTATGCAACAATTTTTAAATAACGCTTATTTTCGATAATCTGTATTACGTAATTTGCACCAAGGCAGACTCCTGTGCTAAAAGTAATCCCTCAGAATTTTGATTAGCTCAGTCCAATAAATAGTAATATTTGCCATTTCAATGTAAGAAAGTGCTACATTTCACAATAGCCCAACGAGTGAAATCCGACTGTTCCTGTGGTCTGAGACGAAACTCGTGGAGACAGTTTTCGTTTTTCCTGTTTTTCGTTTTTGACGTAGGACTACTTCTGTGTTTTCTATATGGGGGAAGCTCTAATGGCAGTTTAATATTTCAAATTAAAGCTTTATTTTGAAATTTTAAAACTTTCCAACTGTAAATAATTCAAACAACATCACCTCACTAACAACTGTACGGACAAGTGGATATTAAATGTTTACACTAAAACAATTTTCGATTAAAAAACTGCATATAGTAAGCCTACAAATTCTCAAAATCAATTGAACATTTTTGATGGAAATGAGAAAAGCAGCTATCCGCTATCAAAGGGGACCTCCTTCGAATGGGTGATATCAGTTGCTTAGTCATTTGTCGAAGGCATGGATCATTCTCATTTGAGAAACGCTTGATATCATTCAATTGAGTGTAACCCACACTTAAACGGAGCTCTGGTCGATATTACGGCGAAAAAGCTAAGCCAACCCGACATCAACCTGACTTCTACCAAACCCCAACCCGATGTTGACCCGATATTGACCCGAAATAAACCCAGAATTGACCCGATAACAACACGACATTGGATCGACATCGACCCGAAATTTACCTTGCGTTGATCCGACATCGGGTCGACTTGTCTATTCGGGGCCATCTTGCTGGGTTTCTTCCATACTCCACTGTCGTATATCAAATGATAGCGGGTGACTCAAATGACAGTGATGATGAGCTTCGAATGAGAAAGGGGCTCTTCAAATTATGGTCATGTGAGAATTCGTTTTCGCAGAATTGATTCAATGGTTGCATTGGTTCATCTTTAATCGAATGATATGAAAATTTACAGCACTGCCTCCCTCTCTATCTACGCTTATGAGATTGAGCAACTGTATTTGTATAGTTCATCTGAACATATCAAATCGATAAAATAAGAAACTCCGAAGTTGTATCAGTTTGTAATCTGACTTCCATTGGTACACCGGCAGTGTTGGCAGAAAAAGTGATTTATGGCATTTAATTCAAACCATAAATATTTGAATAGTTATAACTTTTTTTTAGAAATATTCTAGCACTGTACTTTCTTTGGCAAAGTTGTTATTTGGACATGGTTAGATGCATTTAAACAAAATTGTGGTCTCTGAAGGCGAAGAAAGCTCCCGGCCCGGATGCAGTTCCCAACGTGGCGTTGAAGGCGGCGATCCAGACGTTCCCGGACATGTTCAGGATGGTGTTGCAGAAAAGTCTGGAAGAGGGTCAGTTCCCTGATAGGTAGAAGGTACAAAAGCTTGTGCTGCTGCCGAAGCCCGGAAAACCGCTGGGGGATGCATCGTATAGGTCAATATGCTTGCTGGATACTATCGGAAAGCTCTTGGAGAGGATCATCCTGAACAGGCTGACGAAATGAACGGAGAGTGAACACGGGTTGTCGGAGAGGCAGTTCGGATTCCGGTAAGGGACATCAACGGTGGATGCTATTCGAAAAGTGATTGACAGAGCTTAGAAAGCTTCCAAACAGAAGCGGAGAGAAGATCGATACTGCGCCGTGATTACGATTGATGTGAAGAATGCATTCAATAGCGCTAGCTGGGTGCTCCTTAGAATGAGGGTTCCAGACTACCTAAACAGGATTCTAAGTAGTTACTTCCAGAACCGAGTCCTGGTCTACGAGACAGACACGGGGCAGAAATTGCTTAGGATCACGGCGGGAGTTCCACAAGGCTCCATTCTAGGTCCAACGCTGTGGAACGGAATGTACAATGGTGTACTGACGCCTAAGCTGATAGCTCACTACAAAACAGAACTGATGTTGGTCAGTAACTGTAAAGCAGTGCAGCGGGCAGAAATCACCGTTGGAGAGCACGCAACAGCCACATCGAATATGCGTGCGAGAAGGCGGCGAAGGCCATCAATGCAATAGCCAAAATATTTCTGGTCCAAGCAGCAGCTGTCATCATCGATACTAAGGTACGGAGGTCCAGTCTGGAATGAAGCACTGAAAACGAAGCAAAACCAAAGGAAATTGAGCAGTACATTCCGGCCCATGGCCATGCGAGTCGTGAGTGCGTACAGAACCATTTCGACGGAGGCAGTATGCGTTATGGCCGGTATGATCGCAATCGGCATCACCTTGGCGGAGGACTTCGAGTGCTATATGAGGAGAGAAACCAGAGGAGTACAAAAAATGGTGAGAACGGTGTCGATGGATGATTGGCAGCATGAGTGGGATGCAGCCGATGCAGCAGAGAACGGTAGATGGACACACAGGCTAATACCGGTTCTTTCGACCTGGGTGAACAGGCAGCATGGAGAAGTCAACTTCCACTTGACGCAGTTCTTGTCTGGTCATAACTGCTTCAAGAAGTACCTGCATCGGTTCGGACACACAACGTCACGTCACGTCTGTGTGGAGTCTGGGAATGTGGAAGAATCACCAGAGCACGTGGTCTTCGAATGTCCTCGATGTGATGCTGTGCGAGAGGAGATGCTCGCCCTTAGCGCGGAGAATGTCGTCAAATAAATCTACGATTATGATGAAACTTTGCACAGTTGTTTGTTATTGCCCAACATGCCATTTACAGATATGGTTCCCTAGTTTTGCACACGACTAACACTTGAAAAGGGCTTATGCAAAAATGATACGCATCAATAAAAAAATATATATCTCGTGAAAGATTTGTTTGATCGAGATGGTGTCTTGGGCGAAGTTGCGGACGAATATTGTGCCTTCCTAGAAAAAATATACACTGTAAAAAATAATATTTTTTTTAACAAAAAAAAATCAAAATTATAAAAAAAAAAATTAAAATTACTCAAATTGCATATTTTTTTTTAAATTATTTTTTTTTATATTTATTTTGAAATGGAACTGCTGAGCTAGAAAGTAGTAATGTGCTCACACAAGTGCGAAGTGAAAGACGAAGCCGGGAGAACTCTCCGTCGGAGTAGGCTGAATCCACCGCCAGGGGTTAGCCGAGTAGAACGCGACTACGCTGGGACCTAAATGGCTCACAAATTGGAGAGACGATCAGCGAACTGGAAGCGCCAGTTACCTGAGGTAAAGTGAGGTGCGTAATGTATAGCCCACTCCGAAGTAATACCATAGAGGTAACTCTAAGACTCAAGACGTGCTCAATTTTTTGGCTCACCTCTAGTACTCTCTTCGATCCCAAGCTAATCGATGCACCCCTCGAAACATAGGAAAATCCACGAACCCCTCATTTTACCTGTCATGCACTTTGATTTCTAAACTTGTATTGCCATGTTCCGAATGTTGGATGAACATGTTTACTAATCCTTCTCTCTCTCATTATATGTTTGGAATTTAATTTTGAATAATAAAGGAACTGATTTACTAATTGCAAAAATTGAATTTTAGGATTTATTCAACAACCACCTAACTTAAAAAAAATAAATGTTTTTTTTTTTTTTAATTTTGGAGGTAAATATGTGTACCATTTACTTTGTTATTAATGAATAATATTTTTATATCGAATCTATAACAAAAGGTTGAGATTTAAAGAGCACAAAAGGTCAATTTAAAAACATTCCTTTGTCTGACAAGAAATTGGATGCACCAACATGTATGGCTTCACGTCGTAGCTTTATCTTTACTGGATGAGCTATGTAACGCCCCCACCAGAGCATCTAGACAAACATAAGCGAGATTTGAAAGTTTCATTCTCATCACCTGAAAACGGTGGATGTTCAATGATGGAGAACAAGTTTGACATTTACTTCGACAACATTGTTTTAAAATATATAATTTTGACTTGTCGGTCAAATACTCGGAGATTTAGAACAACGCTAAAATAAGCCAAAATAAATCATAGTTTGAACTCTTCTCCATTATTATTGTGTTTAGGCATAAATTGAAATAATGACATTCATTTAATATTTGATTCATTGCAGCTCGTTTAACGTTCGGTGACAGGAAGAATTATGAATTGAAATGTAGTGAAAGGAAACGCACTTTAATGAATTGAAGTCACATGGAAATTTATAATCGCTAACGCACAAAACAGGTATGCGCCATCCCTATAGCAGTTTAAATACAAATACAAATACTTGCAGCAGCTCGATCAAGATCATGCTGCAGCATCAACAACCACCCAACCGACGGCGGCGACAACAACAACGCCGACGATACATCCTACATACCGGACCGGCACAAAACAACCCTCCCCGAACGTGTTTCGCCGGTTGTCGTGCAACATTTCCGTGTAGCACTCGCCAGTTGCTGCGGAAGCCGACGCGTCGCGTCACTACACCCACCGACCGACTGACTGGGGGCATCATATGGCGATATAAAACTACCGCGCGACAACGGGCCCAAATTCACTTCTCGTTTATCGTTCGGCCTAGTCGTGTCTCGGTGTGGTCTACTAGGACCTCCTTCTCCCACCCCCATAATTTAGTAGCAAGAGTGTTTATATGTATCTCAGTAATTAGTGGTGCCCCCTAAACAGACGGCATCAGGATTGTTGGTGCAGTAACGCAGTCTACCACGCGGCAAGGATTCTGCAAAAAAAAAACTTTTTTTTTTGAGAATTCTGGTTTTTTGAAAAAAAATTAGAAGGGGAAAAACCGAAGTGCTCGCAGCGGTTGCAGTTGCATTAGCGGATAAGAACGAATTGTTTTCATTGTGAGTGTACAAGCTTTACCGATCTACTCCTCTCAGAACAGAACGGGAATAATCGTATTTCACTGGAACGAAGGAGGAAAGTTCGAAGACAGAAGAAGTTTGAAGATTCACAAACAGCTGCGGTAGGATTAGACGTTTGTGGGTTTCCCAGATCTATATGGTGGCTTAGTTAAAAACTCTGAATCGATTTCGCTGAAAAAAAAACACGTATTGCTTCGAACGGATCCCCACACAAGTCAGACAGTGTGGTAAAAGTGTCAGAGTGTGCTGAGTGGAAACCAGTTTTTTCGGCTGTTTTTCAAAAAAGTGCCAATCGTGACTCGGAAAAAGCTGCACGGTGTGATTAGTGTGATCTACATTTTAGCAGTTTCAGCGAGACGTTCTGCAAACGAGTCGGAGCAAAAGCTTTGTAAAATTTCCGAAAGGTGAGTCGTCGTTCGCTGAATTGGTCCTCCTAGGAGTTACAACATCGATTGTTGATTGTTTTGTGCTTTTAGGGATAATGTTTGGCCGTTGGTGGTAAAAAAAACGGGTTTCTTATTTCAGCGCGAGTATTTTTTATTTTGGGGTTCGGTGATGAAATTTTATCGATGTAACACTGCTGACGACGATGATGATGGTGAATGGGGATTGTCAATGATTGCTACGGTTTACTGAATGGTGACGGGAATTGTGCCGTAAACCTGTCGGTGATAAAAATTTGGCATCCTACGCAGACTGCAAAATATTCGATGGCGACCTTGAAAACATGTTTCATTTTTCCTCCAAAATAAATTATGTCATATTGTGAATTTAATCGAGTGATGCATCGGTTAAGCGGGTTGAAATTGAATATGGAATTGTGGAATTTTTTACGTTCTAAATTTGCCTGAGCTATCAAAATCTTAGATGAATTATGATTTTAATACGGTAGATGTACTAATTTTCGATCTAAAGAGGGTAAACAAAATCTTTTTTCATGCAATTAACACACAATTCTCTATTAAAATAGGCCCTATATTCATTTGACAATAAAAAATTCTTGAATCGCTTTCTACCGCGGGTATAATAAATGGACATAGGTCCTATTAAAAAAAAAAAAAAAACCGTCAATTTCTTCTAATTTGAATGCATCTAAAGTTTTGATAAAGAAAAATCGCTTTTTGCGTAAATCTCGAAGTTTTAATTTTTAAATGTGTATGGAAGGATCTAAAACTAGTTCGATCAATTGTGGTACCGATCATGTTTTCAGCCGGAATCCTTTTAGGAACGGAACTATAACCTCATTTTGAGTCCTTCATAAATGGGAAGCGTATTTTTATACGTATTGATTTTTATAAAAAATATTGGAAAATATATCGAAAATTTAACTCTAAGGTAAATTTTCCAGTAAACAAATTTTTTTTCGATGTCATCATGGCAAAAATTTTGACTTAAAAACCCGTAAAAGTTTACTTTTCAGTTTTGTTTTGAGTCCAGTTTCATGCTGAGGCAGAAAACATGTACATGTATAATGAGAGAGAGAGAAGGATTAGTAATTTCCATTTAAATCCACTACCTTATTTGCTTATCCTTGACAGATACGCGTATTTCGTCTACTATGTGCAGAATTCTTCAGTGTCTTGTACTAATACTCGAGTATCTGTCAAGGATAAGCAAATAAGGTAGTGGAATTAAATGGAAATTACTAATCCTTCTCTCTCTCATTATACAGGTATTCCACTAAGATGACCACATTCATCAGGAAGTACATTCTGTTTTTTTTTTTCAATAATCTACGATTTTCCTAGAATACTTTTAGAAAAATCAAAACGTGCTAGTAAAAACATAATTTTTTTTTTGGCGGTAAGCTTCACGCTTAGAGAGTATGAGGCAACAAATTACGTTCTGCAGCGTGATGTCACGAATGAGTTCAGTGTTAATCGGCTGAACCTTTTTGACAGTTCAGTGGTACTTCTTCAAAAAAAAAAAATATTCTAAAATTTTCGAATTTTAACTTGAAAATTGTCGAGGAACAGCGCGGTGAAAGGATGTTGCTCGTGGACAATGCAGAAGTGTGGTTTACATCTCACTGCAGTCTGAAAAATTATCGAGAAAATCTACTCAAGAGAAAATCGACTAAGTCCACGTAAACATTGCCACTGAACTGTCATTCGATTGAAGTTAACCCCGACGGTGCAAAACCTAATTGAAAAATAGAGCGACAGGGAAAGAGCAAAGTGCGATAAGTGTTGGTGGATGGGTTCAGAGCACTTTTTTGTTGTGGATGGAAACATGCGCAGTCATTGCAATACAATGTTTTAAAAAAAAAAAATCAAGACACAACATTAAGGATCTACAGCACACGTTTAACGCAAGGTAAACAAAAAGTTATCACTGTGCAAGCACGCTTTTCTAAGTACCGTTGAAAAAAGATGCTTGCCCGCCACATGTGTACGTGCTAGTGTTATTACAACTTGAGCATGTAGACTAACGGTAGGTGATTGGTTTTGAAAATGCAAAATATGTCAAGCTCTGCATGTCATAGAATTAATGTTTGTCGATATGCACGGTAAGTAAAAAGTACCCAAATTTAAGTTCGTTTCACTCATCACGTGGCTTCCGTGGGGCTAGGTAAAATTAAGTTAAAGAAGAAAACTCAATTTTGAGTAATCCTGATCATGAATCCACGTTGACCAAGTTGACAAAAAAAATAATAAAACGAAGCAGATTGGAACCGAACCGTGGACGTTGAGATTATGCGGCCCGTGTGTTGACCACTCGTCTATCAACGCTTGTGAAAAAGAAATGGTTAAAGGCGCATAACAGCAACCTCAATGAAAATAAACTTATATTTGAGTTCATTTATTATTACTCAATAGTAGAGTAAATTTTAACCAACGCCGCTTTTCTGATTCACTCAACGGCGGACCTCAAATGATAGAACCCAACGTTGAGTTTTTTTTTACTTAATTTTGAGTATATTTTCTTACCGTGTGTATTATAGTACACGGTAAGAAGAAAGTACGCAACAGTCAGCTATTTTTGACTAGTTTGTCTCCTTTTCTCCTTCTAATGTTGTCAAAAACGGAGGAGCCAAACCACCCAACAGGGGTAGTAAAGTGTGGGAACTCAACATTGAATATAATCCTTTACCTACTTTTGGGTTCCTGCACTATAGTGCCGAGATGAGTGAAAATAACATACTTTTGAGTACTTTTTTCTTACCGTGTAGGGTGCCAATGAATGTATGGGAATAAATGATCATCGATTTTCCCAAACCGACCATATACAAAAATTTTATTCCCTCGAGAAAAAAAAAACGTTGCGCAAAATATATGCTCAATCGTAAATAATTTAGTGGTGCAACAAACCTGCCAAGCTTTGAATTTTATTACACCCAACCGGGGGATGTAAGGTTTGCTTACAATTATGTGGGATTCATCATCGCAGGATGTTAGTGGAGACCGCATGAACAGAGCTGCGGTCCAATGTAAAAATATTGGAGAACGTAAAATGTGGAGTGTATTATTAAGAGAAGTTGATTATGACGAAAAATATAAAAAATTAACGTCGACTGGACTCGAACCACGAACGTTGCAATTATCAGACCTGCGCTTTATCTCCTGCTCTCTCCATGCTTAGGAAGATGGATAGGCTAAAAACGAATAAGAAGCGCTCATAGTACGATAATTTGACTTCGCATGATTTTTCTGCTGAACGGAAATTAACCACTTCATTCGAGCAGTTAAAATGACGTTAAAATACCATTCAAACTTTGAAATAAAACATTATTTTGAGATTTTTTCTTCTAGAACCACGAGAAAAGTAGCCAACATTTGCGCGTTTCATTAAAAAAAATAGAAATTAGTTGGTCCAGTTTTGTGAAATCGCTGGTAGAAAGTCACGCCAAAACTGCTTGACAAAGTGGTCAATTAGCTGAAAATCAAGGCAACCTTGAAAGATAAACCAACTACCTGCATGAATTTGAATTTTGGCAAAATTCTCTTGATCAAGGCAACCGCTGAGTTTCGAACAGGATGGCCAGATTATTTTTTTCATTATAGGTAGCTTCTCGAAACTTTTATCGGTAGTTATCGGTAGGCCGTCTTAAGAAGGCTTCACGAAACTTAAAACCTTTGTGAGCGGGGCAAGGATGAAAACAAATCACGCGCAATTTTGAACTTTCGAACCGAGCCATCAGTCCTTTAACCTCACACATTGGATTGTCTAATCTAGAGTCGGTGTATAATGAATCACGCCAAGAGTGAAGTCAAGTCTACCTATTGAACTGTCAAACCGGCTACCTATCGTGCAAAGTAAACAAACATTACGATGCTATGATAGGAAACACAGCAAAAAATTTATGTTCATATCACATCAAAGTGGATGCACTTCAATCGTGTCAAAAATATGGTGTAATATTACTTGCCAGAAGGACAAAATTATCATTAATACAGTGCATGAACTGACATTACGCTGCTTTTACTGCATTTGTTTATTCTATGTGGCCATAAAAATTACATGAGATTTTCGACATGATTGAAGTGCATGTAATGTAATGATGTAATACTAAAATTTATGTTTTGCTGTGAAGGTATTGCAATAAAATATAAAATATTATCTATGAAATGATCATAAACACGCAGTGAGCATTATATTGTCATGGCATACGTTTGGTTATGATCAGTAATGAGAATTTCTACTATTTTTTGTTAAGATAATTTGACAAAATCCAAGGGGTAAGTCACTCAGCACATTGTGCCAAAATTAGATTCGGCACAGCTTGGGCAAAATCTCGTAGGCATTAGATTGTTGTAAATAAAATGGAAGCACTGCTGGACAACTGTCATTGAAGTTGTTATGTTGTGAACGTGATGTTTGACTGCATATTCAGGAACATTCTCTATTTGAATATACTAGAGAAACTTAGACCAGCGGTTCACTTATAGATCTAAATACGAAATGTAGGTTCTAGAGTGAGCTCAAGAGGAAGAGACAGTTAATCAGACCCCATTAGTAGTCTTAATTCAAATAATGCTGCAACTCACACAAAACAAACTACAGAAGTCTATTCATCATCCTCTATAGACGGTCTCCAACAATGTTCCCCACTTGTTCCGGCCGCTGATAGACCGTTACTTTCACATCACAAAAGGCTAGGTTTCTGGTCTACCTTTGAGGACATTATAATACCCTAAAACACAGGACTTTTATTATCCTATGAACACAACACAAACAAATTTCGCACACCCGCCACTTCCCGCGTCATCCTCAATCCGATTTATCCTTGCGATTTCAAACCAAAACTCCAGGTATCATGACCGGCACAATTGGCACACCTGCGGCAAACTGTCAAAAAATATGACCCAAGATTGGTTTGCGCAGTGACCTACCTCTTGACAAAATCATTGATATAATGATATACTACAACCACTATTTTTTTTTCTCGCTGGAAGTCATTTGA